AAGAAGAGAAGAGTTTGGATTTGACATCCCGCCTTTCACTCCCCTTCAGGAGTCTCAAAGCAGCTAACAATCTCCTTTCCCTTCCTCCCCCACAACAAACACTCTGTGAGGTGAGTGGGGCTGAGAGACTTCAAAGAAGTGTGACTAGCCCAAGGTCACCCAGCAGCTGCATGTGGAGGAGCGGAGATGCGAACCCGGTTCCCCAGATTACGTGACTACCACTCTTAACCACTCTTAACCGCTCTTAACCACTACACCACACTGGCACCACACAGATGCCTTCCAGATGTTGTTGGAGTACAGCTTCCTTTATTCCTGACCAAGTTGGTTGTGGAAGGCCTCCCTGGAAGACCAGACATTGGAGACAAACAGGACCATTATCACCATGCTTTCTTTGTGAGCTGCCAGTAGGCATCTCATTGCGCTTCACCGGGAACAAAATGGTGGAGCGTTGGGCAACTGGCCTGATGTAGCAGAGCTTATCCATTCAAACCTATGCATTCTGAAGAAAATCAGCCCTGAGTGCTCACTGGAAGCACAGATCCTGAAGCTGAGGCTCTAATACTTTGGCCACCTCATGAGAAGAGAAGACTCCCTGGAAAAGACCCTGATGTTGGGAAAGATGGGGGGCACAAGAAGAAGGGGACGACAGAGGATGAGATGGTTGGACAGTGTTCTCGAAGCTACCAACATGAGTTTGACTAAACTGCGTGCTCTGGTCCATGGGGTTGTAGGAGTGCAAATATCCAGAGTGTGGGGTCAGGTGGGATTACTATGAGGAATTATAAAATATGCATCAAGCCATTGTGTCCACGAAGAATGCATTGTGTTGACTGGGTTTGATACACTGACAATAATTTCTGATCAAATCCCACAACCCTCTGCATCTCTGGCCATTTCCTCTACTGCCCATCTCTCTTGCCTGACAAGTCACGTACACAGCCTAGTTGCTTCGCCAGGCAGGCTCCTGGGTCATCAAAGACAGTGGGCAGTTTCTTTGATGTAGCTTTCTGATATGTTAATCTTAGGATGTTAATCTTAGGGCCAGGAAACAGATCTCACATGAAGGTCATCATGATCGCTGTCCTCCTTATCATGTATATTGCTTATCACCTCCGGGGTTGCCAAATGCTCTCCTTAGTAGTTCTGTTCTTTGTTTACCCCGTGCTTAATTAGTTTTGGTAGTTTAACTTTCTCCCCACGTGGGGTCTGTTGAAATGCTCAGAAGAAATCTGATTGGTTCTTATGAACACTCTGTAAAAAGTTCTTTTGTGAATAAAACGACCTGGGCCGAGGGGTAGAGAGGCAGACATTATTATACGCACCCTTCCCAGAGTCTTGCTGGTTCAAGCCTCTGTGTGTATTCTTATTAATCAGAGTTCAATCCTTCCTTTACTTTGGGAACACCTCATGGGGTCACGAAGAGTCGGACACGACTAAATGACTAAACAACAACAAATGAAATAGCTGTACATTGCGTCCTACACAAGCTGGAGCAGACACTTCATACCTGTGCAATGTTCTGACCAGAATGAAAGATGACAGGATAATTAGCCGTCCACAAACTAATTGAGAGTCGAACACATAAGCTTAAATTGAGAGTCACCAAAGCATAACAGCCGGTATGCTATGCTTGCAGAGGCCAAGTTAAATAATGAGGCCACTGGCAAGTTTAATGCCGTCAGCTGGCTGAGCGGATCAATGCTACTATTTCCCTGTGTAAACACAAGACAGAAATAGCTTTACTAAGCCCGTGTTAATTATGGCAAATCTCTTTAGAGGTTCTTTCCAAAATAGTATTTTGCATCAAGAGTATTGTATAATTGGTACAGAGCAGACTGATCAAACCTCACACACTGTCCGGCTCGTGGGCAGAGCCTTCACCTGTAATCAAAGAAGCATTTGCTACTTTTGTTAATGCCATTTACATTCAGAACTAGAAAATGGACATAAGATGATTTCTCATATATGCACCGCCAAATCATAATTTAGCACCAAACCAAAAAACCGAGCCTATCCTTCTCCCCTCATCTGGCATGTAAATGCAAATAGTGAGATATAGGAGCTTTCTTTATGCTGCCACAACAACAACATGCAAATACTCATCATAAATGATGAAATTTAAAACTGCATGGGAAGATGGCAGATGGACACATGGACTATTTGGATGGCAGACAAACTGGTAAATCCCGTGACCAAGGAGAGAAGAGTCGATGGAGGAAGACTGGAAGAATTAAAGACTATATTCAGAAACACCACAAAATTAAGGAATGTTAGAGTGATGTTGGACTGAAAACAGTAGTTTCAACTGCAGGACAAAATTAAGGATGATTGAATTAAAAGTCAAGATTAAAGATGTTTTTAAAGTAAATTTGATAATAAGGAAAATTCAAAACCTATATGACATTAAGATCAAGTTGGTTTAAAAGATTAATTCTCTATCTTAAACGTTTATTAATTAATTAGAATTAAAAAATCTGGAAAAACTGCTGGACAAATAATATAGTTGGAATACAAAAGAGGGAGGTATGAGGAAGTCCAGAAAATAAGTAATCTAAAATTGGTAATGGAAAAGAGAGTTTGTTTTTAATTGTTATGTTTTGTGTTTTTATTGTTAAGTTAGGTATTGTTTTTTGTGTGTGTTGTTTTTCTTTTTTGTTTGTTTAAAACCTTAATAAAAAATTATTTAAAAAAAAAAAATAAAGGTAAAGGTAAAGGGACCCCTGACCATTAGGTCCAGTCGTGACTGACTCTGGGGTTGCGGTGCTCATCTCGCTTTACTGGCCGAGGGAGCCAGCGTACAGCTTCCGGGTCATGTGACCAGCATGACCAAGCCACTTCTGGCGAACCAGAGCAGTGCACGGAAACGCCGTTTACCTTCCCACCGGAGCGGTACCTATTTATCTACTTGCACTTTGACATGCTTTCAAACTGCTAGGTTGGCAGGAGCTGGGACCGAACAACAGGAGCTCACCCAGTTGCAGGGATTCGAACCGCCGACCTTCTGATCGGCAAGCCCTAGTCTCTGTGGTTTAGACCACAGTGCCACCCGCATCCCTCACTTTAAATATATACTCTTATAAAACTGCAGGTTATTACAGTAACCCTGCCAATATCTGTTTACAGTTTATTTGTAAATATTCAATAAGCCATTTCCATTCTTTTATTTTAAAAAATAGTTATCTTGATTTCTTATTTTTCCAGTAAGTTTTGCCATTTCCACATAAGTTTTTGCATCCATTCTTCTTTTGCTGGGACTACTTCTTATTTCCATTTTTTTGGCAAGTAGCATCCATTCGACTTCCAAAAGGTTCGGAAACCAAAGCTCCTGCAGCCAATCAGAAGTCGTGCCGGACGTTTGGCTTCCGAAAATCGTTTGAAAACCGGAACACTCACTTCCGGCTTTGATCATTCGGGAACCAATGCGTTCGAGATCCAAGGTACGACTGTATATGTTTCTGTTTTTAATTCCTTTGTTTATGTAAAACAGAAAACGCAAAAATAAAATTCATATCTATATTAAAAAATTAACCTTGCAATGAAAAGGGGGTGAATGGACAGGCAGGACAGCCACCATGGCAATGAAGAAGCTTAGCATGGGTGGGGCAGAAAGTTGCTGCTATTGCGATGCTTCAATATGAACTGGGGCATACCCAGGGAAAAATTCAGTACGCCAACCACTGTACAGGGAACAGTTTTATTTATAATCATCATCATAATAATTTATTTACTTATACCCCGCCCATGTGGCCGGGCCTCCCCAGCCACTCTGGGCAGCTTCCAACGGAACATTAAAAACACAATCAAACATCAAACATTAAAAACTTCCCTAAATATGCTAAAACTTCCCTATTTAGTATTTCTGCTCCTATTTCAGGATGTGTCGTGATGCATTACTGGGTTGAATTTTGCGTTAGGTCCGAGAAATACAACGGTCTCAAATGAACCACCAACTTTTCTACGGCCCTCAAGTGAAAATTCCCATGAAGCAAAGAGCAAGGCATCCTCTGGGAGTTTAACAGGACTCCGTATGGCGAGGTGCCAAGCGTTAGGGAGCCAAAAAAGTTAATGTAGGTCACGACAGCCTGTATCATTCTGATTGGTCTCTTCGAGACTCTTAGCCTGTTTAACCAATCCATTGGAGAGCAGCACAGTAGATGTTAGCAAAGCCATCCAGGAGTCAGCTGAGACAAAGGGAGCTTTGAACAAATAAAATGTAATTGGACAGGACTGAAAAAACGTGCTTAACCAAGGGTTGCGGGGTTGCGGTGGGGAGATCAGATTTGTATGCCGAAGGAAGGTGGAAAATTTATGAAGGTTATGCTATTTATTTGTTTGTGGGATGATACATCCCCTCCTTTTGGCTTAAAAGGAGACCTTGTGGCAGTTCACATAGTGAGTGTGTGTGTGTCTTAACTTAAAACCATTCTTAACTTGAAGCGCACTTTCGCTAATGGGGCCTCCCACTGCCGCCATCGCGCAATTTTTGTTCTCATCCTGAGGTAAAGTTCTTAACCCAAGGTACTACTTCCAGGTTAGCGGAGTCTGTAACCCAAAGTGTTTGTAAGCCGAGGTACCACTGTGTGTGTGTGTGTGTGTGTGTGTGACGCAGGTTGCGCTGTGGGTTAAACCAGAGAGCCTAGGGCTTGCCGATCGGAAGGTCAGCGGTTCAGATCCCCGCGACGGGGTGAGCTCCCATTGTTCGGTTCCAGCTCCTGCCAACCTAGCAGTTTGAAAGCACGTCAAAGTGCAAGTAGATAAATAGGGACCGCTCCGGCAGGAAGGTAAACAGGCGTTTCCGTGCGCTGCTCTGGTTTCGCCAGAAGCGGCTGGCCACATGACCTGGAAAAACTGTCTGCGGACAAATGTCGGCTCCCTCGGCCAGTAAAGCGAGAGGAGAGCCGCAACCCCAGAGTCGTTTGCAACTGGACTTAACTGTCAGGGGTCCTTTACCATATGTTTGTATATATACATACATATATGTGTGTGTGTGTGTGTGTATACATATACATATATATACATATATACACGTATACATATGTGTGTGTGTGTGTATATATACATATATACACATACACACATAACCTACAGTAAAAATCAGCATAAATGCATAAAGGAAAAGTGTTTTACTAATATTAACATGACTGAGTTTTTTTAGTAATAAAAAGGCAACATTTTGGTAATATTATTATTGATATTATTTACATTTTAGTTAGAGATCTTAAAAAAAACACTAATGCTAGAGATTGATTAGCAGGCCTTCTTAGGCAGGAAACTCAATGAAAGTGCAGCCACTGAGAATGTCCTCTAGAAAGATGGCGGCGAGAACTACACTTTCAGCACCGGGGCATTTCCCCAAGAAGATCAAATTGGAGCTAACCGAAGACCCCCTAACAGATCAGACTCTCCAAAATGACACAGAAAGATGTGGCCTTTCCCATATCTCTCAGGAGACACCGATGTCCCTTGTCCTACAATCTTCGCACCGAAGGTCAGAGTACAAATTTCTTCAGCAACCTGTCCCAGCTGCTGCACTTATAACATACGCAAATGGCAATCCCACTTAAAGCGGCGGCTTTTTTTGGCAGGCTGCCTCTTCACACTCCAGGAATAACACGGATTACGACCACCACATACAAAAAAACAGCAGGAGCGAAAGTGTCACGGCAAACGGAAACGATCCAAGGCTCCCGACACAGAGCCTTTCCCGTGTCATTCTGCTCGCCTGCAAACGGACAGGTGGAAAAGCACTAAAATGTTTATATGGGCAGACTCCCCGCTAACTGCCATTCTCCTCCCTCAACTGCAGTTGCCAAATCATCAGTGCCAACGTTAACCACAGTCTCCTGAAAGCCAAGACCTGAAATGGAGTTTGAACTGGGTTTTGTAGCTACGGGAGGGCTGCCTGGGTGGCAATCTTGCATTTATCACGTGGACTTTGGGGGCAGGGACAAAGGGCAAGACGAATTGCCAATTTCCCTCTTTCACGGGAAGGCTCAAACACTTAAGAAAATGCGAGGTGCTGAGATATGTGGATATATTTTTTCCCCAAAAAATTCTTTATTATTCCAAAACCAAAGAGAATTACAAACATCAAATTCAGAATCCATATTTGTTTTCTAACATAAACCTATTACATAAACTACCTGAATTAAAATATACCTAATTACTCTAAACTTCCCTTTGCTGTATATAAATACAACACGATTAGAAAATTTATATTATAAATGATATTATAAATTCCCATATACCCCCCACTCCCCCTTCACCCATGTGTGATCTCAATTTTTTTACTTCTTCCATCTTGTTGTGTTGTTATTGAGGAGATTTCACCCCTCCCATATCCAAGAATCTCCTGAGGAGTCTGCTGATTCTCCAGAGAGGAGGAGGCGTGTTCTGCTCTCTACTTATTCTGCTCCAGCACCGAGTCAGTCAGTCAGTCAGTGTCGGAGAGAGAGAGAGACTGAGTGTTAGAGATCGTGTGTAGAGATAAGGTTGCTGCTAAGAGCAGCTGCAGACCCTCAGTGCAGTGCAGCATTCATTTATGCTTAGACCTATTTAGCTCTGTATATAGTTATATAATAGTTGTAGATAGAATAAAGAAGATATTCTACAGAGCTGCTCTCCGAGTTGTTTATATACTCTGCTAGAGTCTGCTGTACTCTGCTGTGCGACGACTGTCTTCTTGTGGAAGTGAATCCGGTGCTCACATCTCTAAGCTGTGAGTCCACAGCACTTTGACCTGTTCCTGTGCAGAAGGTGGTCTCTGGAAGTGCTACCCAGCTCGCCTAGCCCAGTCGAGGCTGAAGTGGATGAGTCCAGTTGGTGGCACTGGCTCAAGGGCGATGCTGACAGTTATAATTTAATACTCGTTCAATTAATTCTGTTGTTATTTTCTTACTTAGCTCTGCACATTTTGCACATTTTTTATTCATACGTATTTCAATTCCGGAACCATATTTTTTCATGTATTCCTTCACTCCATTCCACTCTTTAATTATTCTCTGATTTGAGTGGCCTCTAATAATTGCCGTCAATTTTGCCATTTCTACAAACTCACAGGGTTTATTTTGCCATTCTAATACTGATGGGATTTTCTCCCCCTTCCAATTCCTTGCAATCAATATCCTGGCTGCTGCTGTTGCGTAGAGGAATGCATTTTTCTTGTCTCTGGGGATGTCATTAGATATTAGCTAATATCTAATATCTAGAGATATGTGGATATTTGGCCCCCTCCTGCCTGCAAGATACTTACGATCAACAGGTTCTCTGCGGGGTTTAGCTCTCTTTCCCCTGCCAATGGAAACAAGCTCTCTAGTTTAGAAGAAATGCCAAACTGTAAAATAAAGCACACAAACTGAGCTTATTCATGGGGTCCAAAGGAAAGCAGAGTGATACGTTTGGCACCAGCTTGGTTGCAGGCGTTGTCGAAGGAGCCATACAGGGCGCCATCCAACCGTCTTAGTGTTAGAATTCCTGCTCCATGATTGCAGTCATGGGATTGTTGTCTATCACATGACGGTATATGTTTTGACTCCACGGAGTGGGATGTGACAGAGACAGGAGGTTTGTGTTACTGTGTTCCGTGAAGTGGGACGATTGTCCTTTGTTCTTTTTTCTCTTTGCTGCCTGATGCTAGAGAGAGAGGGAGCCATGTTGCAGTGCTCCGTGTGTGTTTATATGTACAAAAAGTAGACTAGCCAAAACGCTGAGTTGCTGAGGGCTGTTACGCAACTGCTCCTCACACTTAGGGACTCCACTCTGGATTTGTGTAGGGTTTATTCCAGGCATCCCCAACCTTTGGCCCTCCAGATGTTTTGGACTACAGTTCCCATCATCCCTGCCCACTGGTCCTGTTAGCTAGGGATCATGGGAGTTGTAGGCCAAAACATCTGGAGGGCCGCAGGTTGGGGGTGCCTGGTTTACTTCTTGGCCTCTTCTTTTCCTGAAGATGCCCTGCAAGGCAGGAGAGGTTTAGGAGCAGAGCTTTTCTTTAGCTCGATGGGCTACCTTCCCAGGTTGACGAGCCCCATCTGCCCTTAAATTACGTCGGCTCCCCAAATTTAGCACTGTTCCCTTGGTGAATGATGCAGCAATTTACAGACCACATTCCCAAACTGCGCACATTTATATGAAGTAGCTACACACAAGGTAAGCGCTGCCTTATTCTCTCCAGTATTGAGAAATGTTGAGGAAGGCTTATTGGCTTTTGCTGTTAATTTGCAAAATTATACAGGATTACAGGACCCCTCCTGATCACAGTCCTAATAACCAAACTGGTCATGCCACAAATAAGGTGTTGTGATAGAATTCAGACGGAGCTGATAGAAGCTATTCAAATTCCCGTGCTTACAAACCACCAAGCATTGCTTTTATTTTTTATTTTACTCACAAGGTGTTTCACTGATACTATTTTACTCATGGGCTATTACAGGAACGATGACAGATCTATCCCGGAACTTCAGCAAGTCTGGCATCTTTTATACACTAGAGATGTCGCACAAATCCCTCATCTGTTAAGGGTTTAACAGAGTTCGCGGTGACTGGCTAACCTCTGAAAAAACCAAGACGTGCTGTTCCCAAAGAGGAGTGAAAAAATCTATCAATCTAGGCTTGAGTACGCGAGAAACGACTTCTGCTGGGGGCTGGGACCAGTTTTTATAGCTCAGTCATCAGAAAAGCTCACTGTAACTGGGAAAAGTGACTGGTGAACACAACAGCAAGGCCTTGTTAGCATTGTGTCCTTTCTCTCGTGCAAAATAAAGGCAGGCTGTTCTGCCTGTGATGCTCAGAAATCCACATGGGAGTGTTTTGCACTGGATGTTTCAACAAGCAGCTAATTGCATTGTTCTTCTCAATGCAACAGGAGATTTTGTTTATTTTAACAGAGAACTGTTTGAAAGGGTGCACAGCGCCCTAACTCGCATTTTACCATTGCTAACAACACCACTTGACAGTTGCAATTATTCATCCCAGTGAAACGTCTCCTTTCAAGATTCTTGGGTTTTAAAAAATGGTTTATTAAGGGCAGAATCAGGAGAGCTTTTCCTGCTTCACAATGACTTAGTGGGGACATACAGCAAGCTTCTCTTAAAACTGCAGCAACAGAAGAGACCCACGTTTTATGGAGCTTCTGTTCTAAGCAAATGCTTTTTGCAGAACCACAAAGTGGATTTCTGCAAGGCAGCCCCCAACAGAGGTTTTGACTTGCAGGTTTCTGGCACCCGGGTGGAGCTGATGGCAAAGCTTTCGGTCTGTTTTTGCGGCTGAAGTAGGCAGGCAGAACACTCAGCCCACTCTGACTCAAGGTGGGAAAGGTGTAAAAGGAAGAGGATATCGGAACAACCCTCCACATTTCCCCTTGCGGTGCTAATTTTGCAACCACTAACACAGCATCTTCAGTACTAGGGCTGAGCAATATATCATCCAAAACCAGTTTGAAGTCCATATATGGTGATATCGGTTTGACACTCTCTCTCTCTCTTTCTCTAACTTTAATTTTTTTAAAAAAGGTTTACAGTTTAGACTATTCATTTAGACAACCTTAAAATATCAATGACTTCTTCGCTTTCCATAGTTCATTTTGCACTGCATAAATCCCAGCATGTTTTATATACAGCGGTACCTCTAGTTGCGGACACGATCTGTTCCGGGGTGCCGTTCGCACCCTGAAAAGTCCACAACTAGAGCAGCGCTTCTGCGCAAGCGCAGAGCGCAATAGAGCGCTTCTGTGCATGCACAAAGCACAGAGAACACTTCTGCGAACGCGGCGAAACCCAGAAGTGTACACTTCCAGGTTTGCCGCATTCGCAAGCCAAAAAGACGCAACATGAACCTAACGCAGCACGAGGTATGACTGTAAACTAAACCATTCAGTATTCCATTGTCACTTCCATCAAAACTTATTTACACTGCTGAATTTATCTTAATGCTGCCAACGTTTTCAAAGGTACACAATTTTCCCTCATATAATCAATAAACATTTTTCCAATCTCCCTTAAACAAATGTTCTTCTTGTTCTCTTCTTCTATACGTTAGAGCCGGTCGGTTTGACCATTTTTGACCTGGCAATAGATTGTGAA